TGCATCACTGTCTCCCCTGGGGGGCAAGGAGCACCCATATGAGGAGCCCAGCCCTGCGCTTCCATTGCTGCCACCTCCCTGGCCCGTGGGCTGTCTAGGGGCAGGGAATGGAGAGGGAGCTTCAGGAAAGGAAAAAGCCTTACCTCACTGGCCTGGTCTCCCATCTGCAGGGGGAAGAGGCCAAGATGGCCACTTCTAAAGTTTCCTCTGTGGCATCACCTGGCTCTTGTCCTCTCTTGGGGGAAGCCAAAGAGGGCCACCTCACCTGGCCATGGGCCACCGTATGGGGGTCATGGAAGTCTGTCTGCATTTCCCAAGCCTCACTCATGTCAAGCAGAAATTTAGCTAAACTTGGGCTGGGCCTGTTAGACAGGGAGGGGTAGCTGTAAGACTATGAGGCTGTCTGAGAAATGCAGCTGTTTAGTTACATGCCGTGCTTGTAACATTCAACCCCAAACCTACTGGAAGTCCACAGCTCTACTTTTTATGTAATATGTTTCACTATATAAAAAAAGGAAGACAACTTGGAGGTATGACAGCATTTTTGATTACCCAACTGTCTCCCCAACAAATGTTGGAATACTGGATGAGTAAAATAGGCAGATAAAAATCAGGCATGGTTAACAGGAAGCTGTTACGTTTCATTCCTTTTGACAGAGGAAAGCAACAGGCACCCTCAGCCCTGCCTCAACCAACCACCTGTGGCTTACCTGAGGGGTAAGGGAACTAGGGGGAGGGCCCCTCAATGCACCCCTTTTCTATGCCATGGCTCTCTCTCCCAACTGTGAGCACCCCAGAATGAAGGGACCCACTATCTCACGGAGCCTCCCTACCCACCTGGGTAGAAGACCTCACTTTTGGTAGTGCCCTCTCTCCACTGGTGGAAGGTGCCAGAAATGATGGTGTCCGAAATCTCAGCCCAATAGCGCCCTGAGGGACAATCAGACGGACACCGAACATCAGGGTAGCCGCAGCATCATACGGCCTGGCCAAACATCAGAAAGGAGGGCATGGGCCCTTGGACTGCCCTGGCCTCCCAGTCCGGCCCGCCGCCAGCACTGACCCGAGTGGCCGCCAGAGCCCAGGGCGGTACCGAAGAGCAGCACGTACTCGGACAGCGAGGCGTGCAGAATGCACATGGCACCCATCCAGCCGCCCGCGTTCACGAACACCCACTGCAGCTCCTCGTCGGGCAGCACATGTCCTGGGTGCAGCCGCCGCAGCTCCACGATCAGCCGAGAGAAGGCCAGCTCGTGGTCCAGCCCTGGCGGGGGCAGAGGAGCAGCAAAGTCAGGGCCAGCACCGGTCCCGAACTCGGGAACGACTCCCCGGAACCCCCAGCTCGACCGCGGCCTCCCCCGCCCCTGCCCTCCACCGGTCACTCGCCCGCTCCCCGGCCGACTCACCCGCGTACTTCCGCGCCAACTGCGCGATCTCTTCGCGCTGGAAGACGAAGCTCTGCGTGCCCAGCCAGAGCCGGCCCACCTGGGCCAGCACGGCCGCGGCGGCCAGGAGCAGCGCGGCCCACGCCCACCGCCGGCCCACGGCCCACTGCATCCCGCCGGGCGGCCTGGCACGGCGCAGCGCGGGAGCGAGCGGGGCCTCAGGCCGTGACTCCCACCGCCGCCGGGCCTGCAGCGCGCCGTCAGCGGCCCGTTCCCCCGCCACCGCCATGGTACGGCTCGCCCCGGCCAATCGGAGCGGCCCGGGCACCGGGCACCGCCCCCCGGGTTGAACCATCTCCGCGCGGGGTCCGGGGAGCGCCGAGGGGCGGGGCGCCCGTGAGGTGAGGGGGCGGGGCCAAGCCTCCCAGCCTCCCGCCTTAGGGCCTCCGGGCCGGGTCTCTCCCAGTGGCGTCCCATGTAGGGGAAGCCGAGACTCGCAATGGACTGGCCCTCCTGGGCTCAGTCATGGCGAAGCAGGCCAGCCCGGAAGCAGAGCCTTCCGGGACTCATGATTGTTAAGGCCAGTCTTTGCTAGCACAGAAGGTGGGAGGAGGAACTTCAGCCTGCGAACGTTAGGGAAGGCTTTCTGGAGGCGGTAACACCTGAGCAATGTCTTTAAGAGAGATAGGAAAGGCCTTCCAGCCAATGAGATGTACTCCAAAAGCAAAGGCACCGAGGAGAGAGACAGTGTGGGGTCTTCAGGGGCCTACTGTTCATTGTCTGTTGTGAAGCACAAAATGTGAGAGGAGGGCCTTGTAAACCAGCTAAGGGTTATTGGCAGGGGAGTGAAAAAGGAAAAGAAGCAAAAGAGAGAAAAGAGGCAGCACAGTTCAGTGATTAAGAAAGAAACTCTGGAGCTGGACGGCCTGGGTTAAAAGCCTGGCTCCTGCCACCTGCTTGTGTGATCGTGGCAAGTTACTTAAACTCTTTGAGACTCAATTTTCTCATCTGTAAAATGGGGTGAATAAAAGTACCTGTCTTATAGCACGTACCTTCATTGTGATGAAGATTAAATGAGTTAATATTTATAAAGTAATTAGTGCCTGGCACGTGGTGTCATATGTGTTAGTTATACAAATAAAACATAAAGGAGGGGTGCCGGCCTGGCCTGGTGGCGTAGCAGTTAAGTGCACGTGCTCTGCTGCAGCGGCCTGGGGTTCGGATCCCAGGCGGGCACCGACACACTGCTTGTCAAGCCACGCTGTGGCAGCATCCCATATAAAGTAGAGGAAGATGGGCAAAAGGAGGAGGATTGGCAGATGTTAGCTCAGGGCTGAGCTTCCTCACGAAAATAAATAAAGGAGAAGAGAACTGGAAGAGCCTAGCCTCACAGACGAGAGTGATGGAATGAAGGGTCAGCACAGTCAAATATAATCAAGTGGGCCAGTGAAATGACGGAAAATCGTCATTTGGTTTCTCAGTAGGGGCATGTAGCAGAGATGATGCTATACATTCACAAATCCGTTTCTTTTGCTCTTGGGCAGCCAGAGTACATTCCACAGTCTACTCTGTAGTTTGATGAGGCCATGTGATTGTGTTCTGGCCAGTGAAATATGGGCAGAATGATGTATGCCACTTCCAGGTCTGGTTCCTAAACTCTTCTGCGAGATTCTTTGCATTCTATCTCTTCTCTCCTCTATTATCGTAGTTACATAGAATTAAGTCATTGGGGAGAATTCTGAATGCTGGATGGGACAGACCTCCCCCTTTCTCCCACAGTGGACTGTAGTGCTAAGCCACTGAGTTTGGGGTTGGTTGTTACAGCAACTAAGATACCTTACCCTGACTAATACAGGGCAAAAGACGTGTTACAACGTACTATGCAGGTAAGAGTAGAGGCTGGGAAGATGGACTATTTTTTGAGAAACTTCGCCAAGAAGGGAAAGAGAAAGAAAGGATTATCCGGAGGAGAATGCAGGATTGAAGGAACATGTTTTTGTATTGGCTGTGGCTTCTGTGACACTCCTGAACTGGCGTTCTCTAAGAACCCTGAGTAGCAGGGACTAGCCCAAAAATCTGGCCTCTGTCCATGGCAGAGCCCTCTGGGACTGTCTAGCCCTGCAGCTCCCTTGTCTGGTTTTTCAGAAAGCTTCTCCAGCACACACTGTTTAAAAAAAAAAAAAAAGTGTCCTTTGGCCTTAAGAGGGTCTGTGACCCCAGGAAGGGGAATAAGGGCTGGGGTCACAGCCCTCTTCCCTAGTTATTGTAGAGGAGATCACACCTCTGGGAGCTTGGAGGGGAAGGGCTGCATAGGCCCCATCTCAGCCATTCTCCACTTCCCCCAAAAAGTGACTTTGGGGAGACACAAAGAGAGGAGAAGTTTGGACATGCTCCTGAAGAGATGTTTCTGAAGGGGGTCAGGAGTTAGTTGGTATGACCCAGGGAGTGGCGCTGATGCACTGGTGTTCTTGGGAAAATGGGGCTGCCTCCAAAATCCAGCCACTCAAACAACAGAGACAGCTGAGAAAGTAGGAAAGCAGATCTTCTATCCCCCTCTCCCCATACTGTGAGGAGCCAGTGGAACAGGTAAAATCCCATTTCTCAGCTCCCTGCTCCCTGCCCCCTACAGAGTGGCCTCTTCTGATTCCAGTCTGAGGCCCTGGGGCAGAGGTTCCCTAAATGACCCATGACCCAGTTTTTACATCTGAGCTGCAAAACACCTGGCTTGGTCTGGCCTGGCTTAGGGGAAGGGGCCTCTCGGCTACTGCCAAGCTCCTAGCTCACTAGGTTTCTGTCTTGAGTCTCACTGAAGTCTCAGAGGTGTTTCAGAGCAGCAGGAAGAGCCTGGAAACTTGGGTTCAAATCTCAGCTTGGCCACTCATCCCCTGGGTGACCTTGAGGCCTCTGTTCCCCACCGTGAAATAGAGAGGAGGTTCAGACAATATTTCAATGGCTCTTTAAAAGGGCCAGGGGAGTAATTAATTTGAATTTTATCCTAGTGTTAGCCAGTTGGTTTGATCCAAGGGAAAGTTGGAGAAGGGAAGGGAGTGCGTAAAGGAAACACTTCTGACCCCACCCAGATGGTGGCTGGTGGGGATAGGGTATGGTTATGGTGAAGTACCCACTCCTCTTGGTAATACCTGAGGCCAGGGTTCAGCTGAAGCAGATCAAGCTATGCCCCCCCCCCCACCACAGCCACTGAGTAGGTAAGTGAGGTGACTGTGGGTCCAGGGTTCTACCCTTACTTGGCCCTAGAATAGAAGCTCCGGGAGGGCAGAGGCCATGTCTGACTTGTGCACACAGGGGCATCCCTTTGCCCACATGGAGCCTAGGTGCCTGGCACATGGTAAACACTTGGTAAACGTTTCCTGAATGAATGACCAAATGCATGACTGAATGCAGCGAAGAAATCTTGTAAGCGTCCTGGAGCCGAGGGATCTGCAGGAAGCAGGTTTCACGCAGGGTCTTCCAGGGTGGTGGCTTTGGGCCTGGGGTGGAGTGGGATCATCAAAGCGGCCCCTATAGTGCCGGGCCGTCCTGAGCCCCGCCCCCGGGTGGCCGGGCGGACCCCTCCGGCTGTCACGTGCTGGCGGCTGGCCAATCACCGGGGGCGGGGCGGGGCGAGGATGGGCCGACAGAGGGATGGGAGAGAGGCGGCTGGGCAGAAGTTCCAGACGATCCCCCCGGTGGCCTCATGTCGCGCAGCGGAGAGGGCCTTGAGCAGCGCCAGCAGGCGTCAGAGGCGGACGCCACGGCCACAGTCTTCCGGGCAAGCGGTAACTGCAGGGCGGCCGGGACTCGCTGGGACGCGGAGCCGAGCCCTCCCCTTCCTTAGGAAATTGTGGTCCCTACCCCCAGGTCGGCGCGCCCACCCGGCCGGGCCCGCGGCGAAGGGACACGCGCGTGGTGGGGCTGCAGGCTAATTGGCGCTGGGAACGCCCAGGTCCAGGCCTTTAGCTCCTGAGCAGGACCGGGCAGAGAGGGGGACTCCGAGCTTGGGCCTGCTGGTGAGTGGGAAGAGAGGGCAGAGAGCCTTGCTGACTGACCTGGACTCTGCCCCCAGAGCATCAGCATATCCGCTACAACCCGCTACAAGAAGAGTGGGTGCTGGTGTCAGCTCACCGCATGAAGCGGCCCTGGCAGGGGCAGGTGGAGCCCCCGCTTCTGCAGACAGTGCCCCGCCATGACCCCCGCAACCCTCTGTGTCCCGGGGCCACACGGGCCAATGGAGAGGTAAGCCTTTAGAGACCACATCTGCAGGCTGGGCCAGGGGGAGTTTCCCCGCTTAGAGCTGCCCCTCACCCACAGGGGAGTGGACCTCCTTCTGGGTCATAGCCCACGAAGTCTTTTTGACCCCAGAGTGGGCCTTCCCCACCCCTTTGTAGCCCGTCCAGCCCTTGAAGTCCACCAGATGGCTGGTGGTAGGGGGCAGCGAATGCTTCTAGCCCATCCTTGTCAGTAGGTGAATCCTCACTACGACAGCACCTTCCTGTTTGACAATGACTTCCCAGCTCTGCAGCCTGATGCCCCCAATCCAGGTAACCTGGCTCTAGCTGCTGTTGGGGGGAAGAGAGGCTGGGCTTTCGGGGGGAATTCTGTTGCAGAGAGTGACACCCCTTTATCTTAGGACCCAGCGATCACCCCCTTTTCCAAGCCGAGGCTGCTCGAGGAGTTTGGTAATGATGGCTTTCCTCTCTTAAACCTTCAACCCAGGCCTGAATTGAGCACTGGGGTGGGGCATTGCCCCCAGCACAGCCAAGCCCTATACCTCTGTCATCTCTCCCTCCCTCTCCACCTAGTAAGGTCATGTGCTTCCACCCCTGGTCGGATGTGACACTGCCACTCATGTCAGTCCCTGAGATCCGTGCTGTCGTCGATGCGTGGGCGTCAGTCACAGAGGAGCTGGGTGCCCAGTATCCTTGGGTGCAGGTCTGTGAGGTCGCCCCCTCCTCTGGATGGGCAGGGAGGGAGTGGTGCAGCTTTGGTCCTGGGAAGTGACATTCCTCTTTCCAAAGGGTGTGGTCGCAAAGGGTTGACTGGTGTCTTTTTGGCTACTGAAACTCCCTACCCCTCCCTGATAGATCTTTGAAAACAAAGGAGCCATGATGGGCTGTTCTAATCCTCACCCTCACTGCCAGGTGAGTGTGTCAGGGGCTCCAGTGGATTTCTGGGCTGAGTCTGAGCAGCACTGTGGGGAGGGGACCTGGAGTAAGGGAGGGACAGAGGAAGGATGCTAGTGAGGTGGAGGCTTGGGGATGAAGGATCTGCTGCTCTTCTCTGCTCCTGCCCCTTGACAGGTGTGGGCCAGCAGTTTCCTGCCAGACGTTGCCCAGCGTGAGGAGCGATCTCAGCGGGCCTATCAGAGTCAGCATGGAGAGCCCTTGCTGATGGAGTATGGCCGCCAGGAGCTGCTCAGGAAGGTGGGAGAAAGCCAGGCCCTGTGTCCCCAAGGAGCCCCTAACCTTACTGCAAAAGAGAGAGGTGTATGGAGATGGGTAGAAGGGAAATAGCAGAGAGACTTGCTGGGAGGCCATAGCAATAATCTAAAGCAAAGATGATGGTGGTTGAGACTAGGCTGGTGGTAAAGGAGGTGGTGAGAAGGCATTGGATTCTGGGGACATTTTTTCTTCTGCTTTGCCTGCCTGTTTGCTGACCCCTCGCACCCACCTTGATGACCTCATCTCCATTCGGTCTGCCCAGGAACGTCTGGTCCTAACCAGTGAGCACTGGTTAGTGCTGGTCCCCTTCTGGGCAGTGTGGCCCTTCCAGACACTGCTGCTGCCCCGTCGGCATGTGCGGCGGCTGCCTGAGCTGACCCCTGCTGAGCGAGATGGTGAGTCTCCCAACTGGGACCCTGGGGCCAGGCTCTGGATGGGGATGACTCTGGTAGGGCCAGCATCTGGGCCCCAGGCTGAGAGTCAGGCTCTGATTCCAGATCTAGCCTCCATCATGAAGAAGCTCTTGACCAAGTACGACAACCTGTTTGAGACGTCCTTTCCCTACTCCATGGGCTGGCATGGTGAGGCTTTTTGGGCACCCATATCTAGCTAGCCCCAACACCATTTCTGGGCTCCTGGGGCCCAGCCTGGTAGACTGCAACCCCCAGCAGGCCTTGCAGCACTTGGTGGGGGAAGTGTCCAGAGCAGGGATGCTGGGATGGAGGGTGGAGCAGCAAACTGGGTGAAACTATGTCTCCCATGTGCTTTGCAATGCCTGCCTGGTCTCCTCTCTGGCAGAGAATGCTGGGAGATGTAGTTTTCAGGTACCTAGCCTGGTTTGGGGGTAGGGGCTAGACTGAAGAACTAAGAAAGGGCCCTCCTCAGCTATCTCTGCCTTCTTCCTGTCAGGGGCTCCCACAGGATCAGAGGCTGGAGCCAACTGGGACCACTGGCAGCTGCATGCTCATTACTACCCTCCACTCCTGCGCTCTGCCACTGTCCGGAAATTCATGGTTGGCTATGAAATGCTTGCCCAGGCTCAGAGGGACCTCACCCCCGAGCAGGTCAGGACTCGGAGCAGCCTGGGTCCTTAGGTCCCCTTTTCTCTCTCATTTCTCCAAGGGATCCCAACAGTCATGACCCTGTTGGGTTCATGAGAACCCCCAGAACCTGGGCATTCCTAGGGACTCAGGAGCTGCTCAACTCCTTCATCCTCTGATTATTCCAGCCATCCTTATCACAGCCTCCCTCTCCCACAAACACTGCCCAGTGTCTCCTAGGCACTCAGAACGCCATACTACCATTCTGGGCAGTCCTTAACCTCCTCGATTGCCCCCGTCCCTGTTCCAGGCTGCAGAGAGACTAAGGGCACTTCCTGAGGTCCATTACCGCCTGGGGCAGAAGGACAGGGAGACAGCAGCCATCGCCTGACCACGCTGACCACAGGGCCTTCTGCCTGAGGGAACAAGGGCCTAGGGTTTGGGCAGATGTGGGATCAATAAAACTATGCTTCTGAAACTTTAATCACATATTGTAACACCAGAGGAGTGTGAACTCTAACCCGTGGGGTCTGGGGTTAAAGGCTGAAGGCACAGCGCCAGCCACAACTTTTCTTTGCCTACAGATGTGCAAAGACTTAAGGATACAAAAATTCCACCCCAAATCTCTGAACGAAATTAATACTCAGTGTTATGTCTGGCCGATAGATTCCCTTACTCCTAGAATAACAAAGGCATTCCAGTTTAAGAAACTGTTTTAAAATCCTGTGTTCTTGTCTGTGGCTGAGGCTTTGGGAAGGCCGGAGCCCCCTTCACCACCACCCCTAAGAGTCAGCTTACCAAGCCTGGGCCCGAGGATATGGTGGGGAGCAGGCGAGCAAGATCCTGGTCCCAGTGGTCAGTGGCCAGACCCTGGGCTGCTGGCCAGACCCCTGGCTTTGTGAATGGCTGCACATGGCTCTGCTCCAGCCCACTGGGGCTGAAAGGGCGGGTAGGGAGCATGTACGTGGCTTTGTGTCCTTGGCTTCTCCAGACTCCCACGTGTAGCATGTGTGCGCAGGCTCTGCACACCTCTGTTGCCCCTGTGCCCCAATCATCGCACAGGGCAGAAAACAGCTCTGGCAAGGAAAGGGCTGCCAGAGTTAGGAGCCCCAGGCCCTGGAAGGAGGGGATGGTCCTTAGAGTGACCCTGGGTCTACCCCCTCCCCTCTGGACCTGTTTCCCGGGCAAGACTGTATAACCAACCACGTGGGAACAACAGGCCGTGCAATCCCGGAGACCTGATGCTACCTAGTGTCCTCCAAACTTCTAGGTGAGGACAGGGTTTGTGAGCAATGCAAGGATGGCCTGAACACTTTTTGTCTCCATTCTTCTCTCAAGGAACTGCGTCTCTGGAAGGGGAAATCATGCCAAGGCTGGACAGTGATGACCTGGCCCAGAGACCCTTGGCTGCCTGCCTTCCAGTCCAGGGCTCTTTCGCCCTTGAGACCCTGGAGGGGAAGGTCTGGGACTTGGAGTGTTGCCCTGTCTGGAAGGAGCTCAGACAGACATGGTACACATCTCCCTTGAGCCCCTGGTGACTGGGGAGTGGATGAGAACCCTGGATGGGTGGCTGTTTTCTTAAGGCACAAACACTCACACACACCTGACCCTACACCTTTCACTTGGCTGCATTTTGGAATCACCTGGGGAGTTTTAAACAATGCTGACGCCTAGGTTCAGCCTCCAGAGATTCTGATTTAATTGCTTCAGAGTGTGGCTTGGCGGTTTTAAAACCACAATGTGCCGCAAAGCTTGAGAATCACTGCCCGACACCAGTCCTCTTTCCTTATCTGGAGTCAGGGGCACCTTCAGCTTCTCCAGTCACCTGCCCAGGGCTCCTGAACCACTGAACCTGAGGCTTTGTTCTCGGACAGCTGGGAGGGGGAGGGGCCTGGAAGCTTCCAGTCCTGCTGTCAGTGGAGGACAGGCCTTCAGGCAAGGACCCAGGAATCCAGCTCCAGACTCTGGTGCCCCAGCGGCAGCCTCCTCAGTCCCCGACGGGACAGGAAGTGTCCGGCAGAGGTGGGGGTGGAGGTGATTGGCAGTTGGAGGCTCCAATGGGCCGAGACCCCCCCCCCCTTTCACCCCTCTCCTTCCATTGGCGCCTGGGTGGAGCCGCCCCCACTGCGGGCCCGGGCGGGAGGGAGGAGAGGCCGGGGCAGAGGGCGAGGGCGGAGGGCGCTGGCGGCGGCGGCCGCGGAAGGTGAGGCCTGGCGGGCGGCGGGGCAGGGAGGAAGCCTCGCCAGGAGGGCGGGGCAGGGTGGCGCACGATCAGAAGGGCCCGGAGTGACTGACCCACTGTCAGCGTGTGTGTGACTGTGAGGCTGTGTGTGACGATGTCAGTGTCTGAGGCTCTGTAACTGGGTGTCACTTGGTGCAGCCGTCTGCCAGTGTGACTGCATGCGTCAGTGTCCATGTGGCCCTGCAAGTGTGGGATTGTGTGTGTCAATGTGCAGTTTGTGGGGAGAGACCGGGTGGTGTGTTTGTGTGTGCGAGAGGGCCTGTGACCACATTGGGGAATGTGTTTGGGGAAGGTCTCTGGAGTGTAGACTGTGTCTGCCAGGGTGAGAGTGGGTGGCTGGGTTTGTGTGTGCCTTCAGCAGTAGCAGAGCGAGTGAGACTTGCACTGTGTGTTTGTCCTGGGTCCTAATTGTTAGGCTGTGTGGCAGTGGAGCTGTGTTCCTATCTTGGGGACCCCCTTCCACAGCCACTGGGACTGACCTTTCTGCCTAATGTCCAGCAGGGACAGACCCGTCCCCAGCACACTTGGCCGCCCTCCTCCTTTCTGTGCTGCAGAATCCCTGCCACTGCTACTGCGCCTTGTGTTGTTTCCCTGTGGGACTCAGTTTCCTTATCTCCTTCTCCCTCCTCCTGTCTCCCTAGAGCTATGGTCTCTGTGTCTCTTCACAGTTTTGTCTCTTCAGGTACCTCTGTGTATCTGCTTTTCAGATCTGCCTCTGATGCTCTCTGCCTCTGACGCTCTCTCCCTCTCTGCTGGACTCCCTGTTTGCCTCTGTCGCTTTGGCTACCTGAGGGCCAGTAACGGTGATGCGATGCGGGATCTGCCATGCTAAGAGCTGGCGGAAGAGGGGGCTTAAACCATGATGAGGAGTTGCTTTCAGGGGGTGCTGTAACCCCATCCCAGGGGCAGCGTGCTAAGTGTGTGTGTGTGATTGTGTGAGTGATGACTGTGTGTAAATCTAAGTGTGAGTCTGAGTGAGGATGTCTGCGTGTGTCGGTGTGACTGTGATTGGCTGTATCTGAGAGTGTGTGTCTGAGGGTAAGTGTGGGTCTTGTGTATCTGGCACCAAGGGACCGAAGGCATTTCCTGGTGCTGGGGCCCAAGGAGTGGAGGGGGAGGTGAGAAATGGCTGGAACGTCCAGGGGAGGGGGAGCTGGATTCTGGCTTTTCTTTATATCCCCTAACCTGGGGCCTCCCTTCCCCTTAGAACACAGCCAGCTGTGCCCTGAGGAAATATTTGCTGGAGTGAAAAGATTGGGAGCTGAGTACGTGTCTGATTTTTCATTTGATTGTGTCCACGTGTGTTCAAGGGAGTGTCTTTGTTGCCTCAGCCTAGTGAGTCCACGCGAGAATGTGGCTGTGTGAAAACACAGGGAGTCTCTCATGACAGGGACAGAAGCAGCCCTCCTTTCCCTCTTGCTGGCCTGGCTGCGCCTGTGGCTTCCTTTCCAGACTGGGGGGAGGCCTCTTCCCTTCCCAGGGCCTCTGGTGGGAGGGGGTGGGAGGGGAGGAGGAAGGAGAAGGTAGGGGGAGGGGGCCTAGCTAGGGGCGGCTGAGCTCTGGGGCCCGGAGGGGCGGGGGCTGGGAAGGGGGAGGAGGGGACGATTCTGGGGTCTCAGAACTGAGTGGAGCTGAGACGGGTTCTGTAGCTGGTGGGAGCAAGTCCTGGAGGCCATGCACACTCAGCCACTGGGATCACCGAGGTAGGGTGGGGCTGAGCAGGGTAAATGTGGCTGGGGGGCCAGGGGTGAGCCACCAGGCACACTCAGACACACAGACACGTGGAGGCCCCTGCTCTGCTCTACTTGGTAGGGGTCCCTGCTCTTCCTCTTCTGGAGTCCTCTCCCGGGCCCTTGACCCATCTGCCCCTTCTACTGTGCCCATGGCCACTTCCCTAACCCTGCCTCCTCCTGCTTTCTCCCATCCAGTATCCCTTTCTCCTAGCACCCCCAACCTACATACACCCATGGTTGGTTACCTCCTTGCCTTTCTGAGTTTCTGCTGCTCCAGCCGAGTCTTTGCCTCACTGAACCCCAACAACCTCCCAGTCCTGATCTCTGAGCATCTCTTGGTCCTGTGACCCCTATCCCAGGCCCCTGTCCCTGCAGGGTCCTAGTTCTTCTCAGCCTCCTCCCCCTCCCCGCCACCCTGTCTCCATCTGCTGGCTCCTCGCCCGCCCCCAGCCTCTGGCAGCAGCCAGGGCATCTGGATCTGCTTAACTCCGCAGCCTCAGCCTGCACCCTAGCCCCATCCAGCCTCACAGGCTGGAGACCAACAAGATTCCAGAGTCAGGCCCAGATGAGTGGCCCAAGTAACCAGAGCAAGGAGCCAGGCCCAGGCGAGAAGAGGCTTGGCAGCCAGAGCAGGGCTAGGCCTCATGGTAGGGGTAAAGGGTGGGCTCAGACCCACCATGACAGCCCCCCACCCCAGGGTGTTGAGGGCGGCCTCAGGTCAGTCAGAAGCAGTGACTAGCTCTAGGCCAGGTGGGGGTGGATGCCAGAATTCCCTGCAGCTGGATTGGAGAAGTTAATGGGAGTGACGGAGCTGGTGCCAGCACTTGGTGCCAGGGGGGTGGGCGTCAAGGGTGGTGCGGGGAGCGGTGCTGGCACAGTCTGTTGCCTCCGGCTTTTGTTCTGGGCCCTAAGCCCAGGACTGAGATGGAGTGTGTGTGTGTGTGTGTGTGTACACATACGCAGACTGGTATATGGTGGAACAGGGATCTTAGATCAGATCCCCGAGTGAGTTCTGATATCCCTACCCCACTCGGTACCTCCATTCTCCTCCTCAGTACCCCAAGTCTGGAGGAGGGGGAGGCAGGCTTTAGCCCCCCATCTCGAGGATTGGGGATCGCTGACCCTGCCTGTCTCCCCACAGATGAGCAGCAGCTGCTCAGGGCTGAGCAGGGTCCTGGTGGCTGTGGCTACAGCCCTGGTGTCTGCCTCCTCCCCCTGCCCCCAGGCCTGGGGCCCCCCAGGTGAGAAGAATCCTGCTCTGTGACCCTGACTCTGACTTGTGACTTGCCACCCTCACTGTGGCCCCTTTGCATGCCTAACCTGTGACCCCCAACCCCTGACATCAAACTGGCAACCTCCCCTCTCTACCCTGTCCTCTGATCTCTGTTCCTAGATTATAATGTGATGCTTAGACCCAGTGACCGCCCCCCCCCGGGGCTTAAAAGCCCTCCCATTACCCGGTCACTCTCAAAAAGTGGGGGGGGGGGTGGGAGAGAGGGAAAGGAAGAGCCTCTCCTCAGAAGTGCCCTCCACAGGGGTCCAGTATGGGCAGCCTGGCAGGTCCATGACGCTGTGTTGCCCTGGAGTGGCCGCTGGGTAAGTGCCCCACCTGCCTGTTGGGTGACACTCCTGACCCTTTCTTGACCCTGCCCAGTCCTCACACCCTCCCAGCCTTGGCCCCCACCTCTCTCCCCTCCCTTGTCCCCTGCCCCACTACACTCCCATGTCTGTAATCCTAACCTCTCTATCTGTCCTAACCCTCACACCATCCTTATTCAACAGAAAATTTCAACCCACATGCATTGAGTACTTGCCAAGTGCCTGGTCTATTCCAGGCCCTGGGACACAGCCGTGCACAAGCCAGGCATGATGCCTGTCCGCACACAGCTTACCTCCTGGTGGGGCAGACAGACAATAAGCAAATAAGAATCTCACCAGGTAGTAACACCTGCAGGGGAGAAAATCAAAAGAGAGTGACGTGGAAGAAGATACCTGAGTGGTTACTTTTTATTGGTAATCAGGGAAGGCCTCTCTGAGGAGGTGACATTGAAGCTGATTTCTGAAGGTCAGGAAGGAGGCAGCCATGCACAGGTTGGGGTCTAAGCATTCCTGACAGAGGGAATAGCTAGTGCAGATGCCCAGAGTGGGAGATGAGCTCAACACTCTTGAACAGAAAGACCACCAGTATGATTGGGGTGCAGTGGGCAAGGTGGAGGGAGAAGCTGAAGAAGGAAAGGAGGCAAGCACTAGATCACCGGGGGCTTTGTAAGCTGCAGTGGAGTTTGGGTTTTATTGCAGTGAGAAGCCAATAGAGAGCTGGGGCATGGTCTGACTTACACTTTGAATCTTCCCTCTCTCTCATCACCTCATCTCACCCCCAGGGCCCCGGTGTCCTGGTTTCGGGACGGGGAGACAAGGCTGCTCCAGGGACCTGGCTCTGGGCTAGGGCATGAACTGGTCCTGGCGCGGGCAGACAGCACTGACGAGGGCACCTACATCTGCCAGACCCTGGATGGTGCACCTGGGGGCATAGTGACCCTGCAGCTGGGCTGTGAGTTGGGGAGGGAGTATTGCGTGGCAGTGATGAGATGTGGGGCTCCTGAGTAAGCCCTCTGGGATGGGCATGGGGAGGACCTGGGACTTCTCCGTCTCCAGCTGCACTGTCTGCCTCTAGACCCCCCAGCCCGCCCAGTTGTCTCCTGCCGAGCAGCTGACTATGAGAACTTCTCCTGCACTTGGAGTCCCAGCCAGGTTAGCGGTTTACCCACCCGCTACCTCACCTCCTACAGGTGTGTGCATGACCGGGTGTGTATGCCTATACATTTGGGTGTGCCGGCACAACGTGGGTATTTGAGTCATGGAGGGAGGTCCTGAGAGAGGCTTAGAGAGAGGGAGGACCCTCTCTTCCTTCCTGACCTCAGATGGCGCCCTCCCTGCCAGGAAGAAGACGGTGCCAGGAGCTGATGGCCAGAGGTAGGACATGAGGGAGAAGCTGGGGGCTCCAGCTGGATCCCATAGCGAGCATTTCCGAAGCCCAAGATCACATGCTTCCTCCTAGGATGAGTCCATCCACAGGGCCCTGGCCATGCCCACAGGACCCCCCAGGGGCAGCCCGCTGTGTAGTCTACGGGGCAGAGTTCTGGAGCCAGTACCGCATCAATGTGACTGAGGTGAACCCCCTGGGGGCCAGCACACGCCTGCTGGATGTGAGCTTGCAGAACATCTGTGAGTACCCACCTCTACAGCTCCCCCCAGGTCCCCACCACAGGACCTCAAACGGACTCCAGAGTACGGATATCCCAACACAGAACCTCCCCCACAGGAGCTCCCAAACATTCCGTCCCAACATAGACCCCATTGCAGCACACAGATGGGTCCCGCGGAGACCAAGAAGCCAAAGAGATCAGAACCCAGGGGGCACTGCCACTACCCCTCCCCACAGGTCCTTCCTGGCTGCCTAGCCCAGGAACTGCCTCTCTGCTTCCAGGCCCTATGCTGAAGGCAGCCATATCTTTTGTCCTCCCTGCCCCTGGAAGCCCTTGCTGACCCCTCCTTCCTCTTGATCTGTGTGCGGGAGGGGGGCACTAAAGCTCTGGCTGGAATTTGGGCCAGTTCTTCCTTGGCTGGAAAGCAGAATTGCTCTTTAATTCACTCAACAAACATTTCAAAAAGCCATCTTAGATCTCAGCTCATTTTACAACAGGGATGACAGACAGGTCCTGAGTCTAATGGGAAATCAAGCTTAAGATTTCCCCAACCCCCTCAGAAGTGTCTCCCTCAGGTACCTTTAGGCACACACCCACCTTCCCTTGGGAGGTGGCAGGGGAAGGGATGGGTACCCATCGCCTGCCCTGACTTTGTGTCTCCACTGCCCACAGTGCGCCCTGACCCACCCCAGGGGCTGCAGGTAGAGTCGGTGCCTGGCTACCCCCGCCGCCTGCGTGCCAGCTGGACGTACCCTGCCTCCTGGCCCCGCCAGCCCCACTTCCTGCTCAAGTTCCGGCTGCAGTACCGTCCAGCGCAGCATCCAGCCTGGTCCACGGTGAGGGCTGGGGTGTGTCCCAATCTGGGGCTGTGGGTTGTGTCTCTAGTCTCATGTTCCTGCTGGAGCATGGCTTTCTGGTGCTGGCAGGTCACTGAAGCCCCGTCACCTCCCCTTACAGAGTGCTCTGCATGGGCCAGGCTTTGTGCTTGGTGCTGAGATTGCAGCAGGGACCACAGCCCGAGCCTCTGCCTGGCAGGGCTGTAACTCTGATGTAAGCCCATCTGTGGGAAGACAGCAGTGGCTTTTTAAAAATAACCTTTCTAGGAAAAGGAGCGCCTTTCACCCAGAGGCACATTCTCGTACAAACACTCCTGTCCCCAGATGAGATAGTGGTGAATTCCCATCTCTCGAGATGTTGAAGATTGGCTAGTATCAAGTTGGGGGAGCAGCTGCCTCAGACAATCACCAGTATTTATTGATTGCTCTCTGCCTGCCAGGCGCCGTGCTACACATTTTACATGTATTATCTCGTTTAGGTGTATTCAGTTCTATTTTACAAATGAAGAAGCTGAGGCACAAGGTCACCCAGGTGGTGCAGCAAAGATCTGAACCCAGGCAGTCTGACGGCACAGCCTGTCTCTATTACCATTGTGCACTTTTGTCTTCCACACACTAGGTGTAGACCTGACACCACCGGCCACCCCACGTGAGGCCCAGAGGGCTCCCGCAGGCTGACAGGGCCAGGCCTGGGGGGAAGGGGTGTTCTTTGCAGATGGGGGCTCGGGGGCAGGTGGGCGCGGTGCCTACACCTGGCCCTTCCCTCCCAGGTGGAGCCGGCGGGACTGGAGGAGGTGATCACGGACGCTGTGGCCGGGCTGCCCCACGCTGTGCGGGTCAGCGCCCGGGACTTTCTGGACGCTGGCACCTGGAGCGCCTGGAGCCCCGAGGCCTGGGGCACTCCGAGCACTGGTGAGAGCCAGAGCCCAGGGAAGGGGAGAGGCCGCCCTGCAGCATCTCTTCGCCCAATGGTGGGTGCGAGGGGCCGCCAGGCACAGGCAGGTCCACGTGGCTGCAAGTGTGGTCGGGTTTCAGCCTGGGTTGCCTGCAATCTGCCCTAGCTTAAGCCCTGCCCCTCAGCCTCCACCCTAGCGACATGCCCCTTCAGGCTTCGTCTCCGAGGGGCCCCTGGGTCCTGGGTGGCCCTGGCGTCACCCCACCCACGTGGCCAGTTCTTCTCAGGTCTTGCCTCCCTTCAGGGCCCCTCCCAAAGGAGATGCCAGCAGGGGGCCAGCCCCACACGCAGCTGGAGGAGGAGCCTCAGGCAGACAGCCCTGCTCCCCCAAGACCCTCCCATCTGCCAGACCCCCGGCCACTTGGTGAGCTTGGGCACAGGGGCAAAGGTTGTAGAGGACGGAAAGCCCCAGAGAGAAGGGGATGCCGGGTTTAGTCAGGCGGGCTCACTCTCACCGTGGCATGTGACTCTCTGCCTCAGACCACAGGGACCCCCTGGAGCAGGTGGCTGTGCTGGCATCTTTGGGAATCTTCTCTTTCCTGGGACTGGCTGCTGGGGCCCTGGCACTGGGGCTGTGGTAAGTGACTGCCATTGGCCCTCAGCCTCTGATCCCACACATGCGCTCTGATACCATAGACCACACCCATGCCCACCCCTCATGACTGCCCACTGAACCTGTCTGGTTCTGGAACTCCTCCCCCGCCCCCCAACTTCATGATTCTCGCTGATTTGCCTCATGACCCTTTACTAATAAACCCTTTTGGAGGATACTGAGATGCTCCATATCATCAAGGAGACAGCTGCCTTTTTATGTCCCAGGCTGCGGCTGAGACCGGGTGGGAAGGATGGACCCCAAAAGCCTGGGTTCTTGGCCCCAGTGATTCCAGTGGATAAGCTTCCAGGTGAGTAGGACCTCCAGGAGGTTTGGACTCAGAGATATGTGCCCTTGTTTTGAGAGGGTCTGGATTAAGAGCCAGACATCTTAGTCATTGTAACGGTGCTGGGAATCAGAGTTTGGTCCTGTGATGTCTGGGCTCAGGGATGGGCCTTTCATTTTTGAGTCCTTGGGCTCAGAGTTGGATCTCTTCCCTCTCTCACAGAGTATTGGGGCTCCTAGATGGACTTCCTCCTCATTTTCAGGGTGTTAGGCTCAGAGATGGATATCCATCCTTATTCTTGGGTATCTTGGGTCAGAGCTGGGTCCCCTCCCTTATTCTTAATGTGCCTGGGCCCAGGGGTAGGTTCACTCCCTCATCTCCAGGGTGTTGCGGCTCACTCAGAGCTGGGCTTCCCTATTCATTCTTGGAGTGAGCCCATTCTTGGGCTCAGATCTGGGTCCCCTCCCTCATGCTCAGGGCATCTGGGCCAAGATCCCGTCATACTATCTCCCTTGATTTGCTTCCTGCTTCTTTTAGGAGCTCCAAACCTGTAGAGGACCCAGGAGGGCTTCAGCTGATTCGACCTATAACTCTGTCTTGCTGGTGTGGATGGACGGACAGATAGAACCCAGGCAGGACAGTAGATCCCCGTGGAGGGGGATGGGTCTCAGCTGGAAGTTCTGTTTGGAGCCCATTTCTATGAGACTCTGTGTTCTAAACTTGCCAGCTGAAAGGTGCCTGGACCTCTGACTCATCCCAGAGCTGGAGGTCCACCCGAGGAATGTGTGTAGATGAGTATGTCTGTGTCCCTGTGTGCCCGTGAGTATGTGAGGCAGGGAACATGTGTTCTCTGCATGTATGTATGTAGGTGCCTGGGGAGTGTGTGTGGGTCCTTGGCTCTTGGCCTTGCCCCTGGCGGTGGCTGTGAAGGTGTGAATAAAGAGAATGAGGAGGTTCTTCTGTTTATTGACATGTCTCCCAGATCCAGATTCAGGGCTCACAGGAGAGTGCACAGAACTTGGAGACCACACTCGGAGACTATCATCCAATGCTGCTTTATTATTTTGGCTATTGGGGGCCCTGGCCCATTTTCCCTGTCAGCCCCAAATTCAGGTTGGGCGGAGTCCCTTGGAGCCTCCTCCCTTGGCGCTCAAACCACTGAGCCAGACTGCGGTTCTGGGGGTGGATGCAGACGCTGCGTTGAGACAGGTGAAGGCTGAGAAAGGAAGGATCCAAAGCCATGGTCATGGCCTGGAGATGAGGTTAGGGCCCAGGGGTTAGGGGCAAGGGCCAAATGAAAACCTGAGTTGGCATCAGAATTAGCAGTTGGGGCTGGGGTTGGGATCAGCATCAGGGGTTGGGACGGAGGTCAGAGTCGGGACAGTATTAGGGTCAGGATCAGAGCTCACATGAAAGCCTGGAGGTGACAGTCCCCATCAGCCTTCTGCAGTTCCACTCGGATGACCTTCCTCAGTAGCTTGGTCGAGAGTGGCTGTCGGTAAAGCTGAGTACAGCAGGTAGCGCTGGGTGGCAGTAGCAATGCTAGGGGACAACAGGGCCATGTGTCCAGAGGGCTCCTGTCCATCAGACAGCTGGAGGCTGGACTCTTGGCCCCTATCCCTCCAGCCCATTCACCCAGACCCCTGGCCTTCTATACCCCCACTCACTCACCTGCTCTGGGGTCTGGGCTCAGGAGCAACAGTAGCAGCAGGAGGCTGCTGGTGAGTGAGGGCCCTTTCATGCTGCTCAGTCTGGATCCTTCTCTCTCCTCCTCCCCTACCTTTTATCTGGGTCCCTTTCACCTGGGGCACCAGGTGAGTCAGAGGCAGGTGAAGATGTATTGCTCATCCTGTGACAATCCTGGGCCCTAATTACCAGAGACCCCGCTGCTACAGACCCCTTCCTCTTCTAGGACTGCCATTTCCCCTGGGATCCTAAGCCCTGGGCAGAAAAGCTGGGGAGAGAAGTCGTGCATGATGTAGGGACTGAGAGTACAGTGACTGAGTAAGGGCAGCCAAGGATCCCCGGTGAGAGGATCCTTGGTCCTCACTCATAGCTACTCACTCAGTCATACTCGCTCAACCTCACATGGTCAGACAGCCAGAGGCCGAAGCACACAGCCCCAGTTATACTCAGAGTCCCACAACCACACAGTTGTGTTTCCACAATCATCCAGTCACACAAGCATGCCAGCACACACAAATTCTGATGGAGTGGTGGGTGGGGTGGGAGCAGAGGGCAGGCCAGCGCCAACTTGCCTTCATTTCCCCATCTCCACTTCCTGCCCTAGCCTGCCTGACTTCTCAGGAGAAATTGATGGGGGTGGGTCCCTAAAGCAGGCCCTTCTGCCTGAGGAGGAGTCTTGGCTGGGGCCAGTCACATTCAGAGTGAGAAGCTGGGAGGAGCCCTTTTGGTGGCATTGCAGGTGCCTTACCTGGGGGCTGAGGTGGGGGTGTTTTCCCCAGAAAGATGAGACAGTGAGGAAGGGTGGGTGTATAAGAAGGGCAGATGAGGGAAGATAAAAGTTCTTTAGTGCCAGGTTGCTGCCGTCAAACAGGGAAAAGACCCAAGAAATCTTACTTTCCTGTTTTTGCCTAGTCCTGTGCCAGAAATGCCAGCCTCTTGCAGCAAGGGCCTGGGGTTTCCAGACTCAGTCTCTGGCTTACTGAGACATCAGACTCAAGAGCTCAATTACCTCTCTTTTGTTCTGTTCAGATTCCAGCCTCTTTCCACTGTGAGCCTGGAGAAACATCCCCCTCCCCACCCAGGTCCAGTAATAACCCCACCAACAACCCTACAACCTCTGCATCCCATCCTCTTGCTAAAGCCCCAACCTCCCATCTCCTTCCTGCTCCTTCTCTTCTAATCCCATACCCAGCCCCCCCCTTCCCCTCACCCCCCAATGCAAAACTCCTCCTCCTCCTCCTGTCGTTTCTTGGAAGCTGGGAACTGCCAAGGGTGGGGGCAGGCTGCTAAGTTCAGTGCCCCTGGCACCTTGAAGAATTTCCTAGTCTTGGTCTGGGGATTTCAACCCTCAAATCCTGCTCGGTATTTGAAATATAAACTGAGTCATAACCCAGGAATCCAGCTCTTATCTGGTTGTTGCAGGGGTGCCTTCTGCTCCATGGCCAGCTATCCTCTATGGGGCAGGCCTTCTTTTGGGATAGGGACTCACACCTTCCCTGAGCATGTCTTTCTGCTGCAGGGCTGCTGCAGCAATCAGGAGAGACCATCAGCTCCAAGAGTAGGAACTAGTCCCCATCCCAGGCCGAACAACTCAAGTTTCTCCCTCCTGTCCAAGATGAGGCTTGAAGGCTCTTCCCTGGAGTTTGTCTTGTGGATACTCAGGAATTCTGAGTGTCTTGGTGAGGTGTACACCTGGGGCTGGACAGGGTACTCCACTTTTGATGGGGTTCTTGATGTGGACGTTGTAAGGAAATGGCTGAAGAGCCCAGATCTGTTCCTGAAGATGGCCATAATCCAGAGGTTACTCATCTTGAATTTCTAGTACTGAGGCCTTAGGGTCTTTCTCCTACCCTCCAGTCTGGACTTGTGCCCCAGAGCTTGGGTGCAGCCATTGAGGTGCCATTGTCTTGTCTCAGATCTTCTCCATAAGCTGGCTGTCTGCCACATACTTTATGGTCTTTCCTGGACCAGTCAGTCCGGAGACCTGAGAAGGCAAGAAATGAATTCTCCCTGGTATGCACACATCTCTCCCCTTTAGCTTTTCCAAAGGGCCAAGTCTTCTCCCCAGCCACAACCTCCTGTGGCAGGAGCAGCTCCAGGCTGAAAATTAGTTTTGCCCCCACCCACAAAGTGGGCTGTCTCTTTAACTTAATCCTCTGGTGCCCTTTCTTGTGCTAGGGCCACTCCCTAAGTGAAAGCAGGCCCACAGTGACAAGACAGAAAGGGGTGGCAGCGGGCAGTGGCTCTTGGGTTCTCCTAGGGAGATAGCAAGAACTGCTAGGTGGGCTGATGCCAAGTGTCTTTAAACTTGGGATCAGACTGGAGGAGCTGCAGATTAGGGTATGAACTATAGGAAAGACCTCCAACAGTCCCAGTCACTCCCTGGCGGCAGGCTGAGGGAGGCAGCTTCTAGGAATCTTCCTCTCCTCTCACAGCCTATTCCTACAACGCTGGGCTTAAAATATTTTAGATCCACTCCCAGGAAAAGAAGATTCTTCAGACAACTGGCAAAGTCCTGGTTAGGAAGAAGGTGGTAGCAGAGAGCTGGGGTTGTCAGAAGACATCGATGTGGGGATAAGGTTGGAAGACCAGGCCAGGACTATTTAGTTCCCGCCATGTGTGGGGAGCAGTCACTAAAGTAACAGGAAGCCTGACGTTGATGAGGGATCCTTAGGAATAACGGGGGCCTTGACATGGAAGGGCATCCCATGGCGGGGGTGGGGGAGGACGCCCTGTCATTAAGGAAACGGCCGACGTGGAGAAGCGCTCCTGGCCCGAACGGCGGCAGCGGCGGCAGAGTCAGGAGGGCAGGCACGGCGGGCTTTGGGTTAAATCTTTAATGCACCGGCTGGCTGGGCAGTGGCGGCGGGGGTGCGGCGGGGGAGGCCGCGACCGGAGCGCTGGGGAGCAGGGCCCAGGCCGTTTGACAGACAACTCATCAGGCCCCGCAGAGGCTCCAGCTTCTGCTCCCGGGGGTGCGCAGAGCTGTGGGGCGACCCGATAGCAGCATGAGGAGGGGCGGGGACTCCCGGATCCTCCCCTCCGAGCCCGAGCCGCGTCCATGCACCGGGCGGGTCCGCGGTGTCGCAGCCCCTCACCTCCGCTCCCTCCGCCACATGCGCAGCCAGGGGAAAAAGTAGAAGCAGCCCCAGTAGATCCTGCGGAGAGAGGGCAGAGGC